TGTCCTTCCTCTACATGAGACTGGCAGATTACAGCCAGATAAGAGATAAGACGTGGACTCTGCTCTCAGCTGCTCACAGTCTGGTAGAAAACAAGTCCCTGGAAAATATCATTCAAAATCTCCTCTGAAATGTTAACTCCTGTGTCTGTTGAGAAAAGATCTTTTACCCACAGACTTATCTTAATGGCTTGTTCACAGCTATTAGGATTTCATAAGAGATGTGCTTGTTCTCTGTGAATATGGAAGATGATAGCGAATATAATTAGCTCACAAATGCTTAACCTCTCCCGTCTAAGGCATTGTGCTAGACATACAGGTATACAAAAATTGAATATTTAAAGTATAGGACATATTGCTCATATAGCAGCAGTATTGTTTCATAGCTTTCAAACATTGTAGGGACATTTATTTTTAATAATATTCTTAAATGGAGTGGGAGGAGGGGCTTTCGAACTAGAAGGCAAAAATACCTTCATACTCAAATCTAGATTCCTCAGCCTCAGATTTAAGGTCTCCATTCAGAACCTCTTTCGTACCTCTTTATCTCTTTTGAGCTTTCTTTTTCCTTTTCCTTAGCCATGCCAGCCTGCTTGCTAATCCCTGCACCCTACTAACTTTTGCTTCTGTGCCTCTGCTTGACTAATTCTGCTTCTGGGATGCTTTGCTTCCCGTGAGCCCATGTCCATCACTACCATTACAATCTGGCCCCAGGTCCACCTCCTGCAAGGAGCCTGTAGTCAGCATCCCTGTCTCCTGTGTCCCTCCTACATGTGCAGAGCCCGTGTGACTGAAGAAGGAACGTTGCTTTGGTGTTCTGTCCCCATCTTGCTGTTCTAGATTCAAACAGATGATAAAGCAGTGGGAGTTGAGTCTGTGTATCAAAGATTTCATTTGGGGATGTGTTGGCTGCTAATTAGGAAAATCAGAAGTTAGTATGGGGAGTATGCGAAATAAACCTGGGATCCATAGAGAACAGTCAGTAAATGATCCTCTCCTGTTACCAAACAGGACAGGAAATATCCTTTAAACAAGTTTCAGGTGTGGTAAAAGTAGATCAATGAACCGTCAAGTTTAGGGAAAGCAGGGCTCTGCCTATTAATCATCTCAAGCTTGTTGATCTGCTGTTCTGTAATTCCTTCAGTATTGTTTAATGTGTGTGTATGTGTATATGTGTATATGTTCTATCTTCTGAACTGACTAAAAGCTTCTTGAGGACAGGGACCTTGTCTTTTATTTTTCTCTGCATATTCTTTGCCACTTATTCCTAACTAGCTTTGAGAAGCCTTCTCTAAGCACGTACGGAATAGTAATGCAGTTGTGGGTCCCAGCTATCTCCCAGCCATTACACCACACTGCAGGTGTCTCATATCCTTTATATGACCCCACTTAGTAAGGTGAGTATTCCTGCCCTAATTCTACACATAAGGAAGCCACAGTTCAGAGCACTCAAGGTCTTAGGGCAGAGATTGGTAGATTTCAAATTAGAACCCAAACTGATACGTGCTTTTTCGCTACACTACATTATAATAATAAACACTTGAATCCTATACAGTTCATGGAACTCTTTGATCTACATTATTATTGCTGTCATTACTACCATCAAACTGCCCCTTCTTACATTATCGCCAAGACGTAGGTAAACCTAGTATTATCATGATCCCCATTTCACAGATGGGGAAATGAGGCTCAGAGACTTGCCCAAGAACACAGAGCTGGTAAGTGGAAGAGTCAGGAATGGAGACTTCTTGACTCCAGATCTTTTTGTTCTGCTTCTCCTGACATCACATTGCTGCCTTAATTTATTTGCATGGATGCATGATTATGAGGCCAGTTTTCACTGATGCCTTTCCTTCAGAAATGCCAATATACCCAAACCTGGTATGGAGACAGGTGGAAAAAGAGAATTCATTCCTTTGGAGCATCCATTGTAATAGAGGATGATTTAAAAAAAAAAAAAAAAGCACAAGGGGGGAAAAGAACTTGAGAAGAATAGTTCACAAATGAAAATCAAAATATCAGCCCGTTATTCTATAAATGAGTTCCCACAATTTTGCTATAAAACGATGATATTCTTTTTTTCCCCCAAGGTATAATTGGACTACAGAATAGGGATAGAGCCAGTAGACTTAATTTTGAAACAGTACTTCTGGGTTTAGATGAGGAAGTGCTAGGTACAGCATACAAATTGGTGGCTAGCCCCAGAATTATCCTATTACCAAAGAGATGCAGCAGCTGTAATCAGTTGATCTGGCAGATAACGGCTTGTCCACCCAGCAGTTCATCACTATCCTTGGTAGAACTCCTAATCCCACCTGCCAGTCCTATTTCTGCCTCTCCCTCATCTGCAGCCCCCACCCCACCCCGCCCACCCTAATTGCACCAACCCCTCTGAACCCTAGAATCTTTTTTTTCTTTTTTTCTTTTTTGCTGTTGTTTGTTTGTTTTGAGAGACAGAGTCCCACTGGCCTCAAACTCTCAATCCTCCTGCCCATCTCTTTAGTACTGTGATTACAAGTATGCACCACCACACCTTGAGATCAAGATCTTGTCCCTCAGTATTTTATTCCCAGCAGGTTAACCTTGTTCTCTTTTGCATCAGTTTTGAGAATGCATCAGGAAGACTCAGCACAATCAGTGAAAACTAGGAATATGCATATTGTAAACTATATCAGGGTAATGTTTATCCATGCTAGAGAGAAATTTTTAATGGAAACAGGTTGCTTCTAACTCTCCACTGAACATTTCTACCTGGTTGTCATAAAGACAACTCGAGCTCTTCATATTGAAAGTTACCAGAATCTCCCCGCCCCCCCACGTCCACTCCATAACTTGTGTCTGGCTTCACATCCCCTTGGTCATCTACACTCGAGCGGCAGGGACACTACCACGTGTCTTTCCCTTCCACTGAGCCATCAGATCTGCCTCAGACATACTGAATTTTCTTCCCACAACCTCAGCCACAGTCCAGCTCTGGTTCCTCTCTCATATACTGTTAGAATGAGCTCCTAGTCTCTCTCCCACCTAGTCCAGTGTTGTCTACCACTCTGCTAACCAAAGGCAACAACCCTGTTTGATTTTCTTTACAAGATAAATTCTTGAGCTCCTTACTTTGGCATTTGAAACATTTGACTTTTACATCCCAAATCACCCTTACCTCCTGCCACTACCTCCCTGACCTGTCCACTCCCCAACCATGGGAAAGAAAAGACGAACTGATGCCTTCAAAGGAGGCCCTCCTAAGCCGCCGGCAGTGAGACTGTGCAGAACTCTTTTTGACGCTGCGTCTGTGGCCTGAAGCATGATGTGCCCTGGGCCTGTGTAGCCTTCCCCACCTTGTCCTGACAGTTTGATCAGGCCTCGGTCTGGGGGCCACCATAGTGCTCTGTTGGTCATTCTCTCAGCACATCCCCTGTTAGGTTCTGAGTCCTTTTCCATGTGTTTGTTTTGCCCACTCATCAAGGGCAGTGGCTGCACCTAGTCTTGCTTTCCTGCCCAGTACAATACACGCATCCTGTCATCTAGCTATTAAGCAGATATCAAGCAGATGAACTCAGGGGTGCACCTCCAGTGCAGTTAGTTGGGGCAGGTATGGCTGGCATTCAGGAGAGCTATGTTCCACCTCCAGCCCTGCCACTAGGTTAATGACCTTGGGTAAGTCACTTAGTCTCCTTTACTACAGAAGGGGGTTGGACTAGATGATCTCTGAGGTCCCTTCCTTCTAGCTTTAGACTTTATGAGTCTGATCCCTTTTCTTAATCAGGAAACACATTTCCTACTTCATAACATTCAAGAGTCTCAGCTTTTAGCCAGTCAGCCATTCAAATTTTCCAAATAGACTTTTGGACTTTCAGACTCTTGGAAGTTGTCTTCTGGTGGTACCCTGAGCTGCTTGCTTAGGCTTCTGTTGGCTTAACCAATGATCACTGAGCTGTCTTCACATAGCCCAGGTTTTGGTGTGTCTAACAGCACATAGTTGAGGCGGCTGCCCCTTCCTGCCTTCCCTGGAGAAAGTCCTTGTCTGTGCTAGCCTCTGGCAGCAGGAAGGAAATGTCATTTCCCTTCACTCCTCATCTCACCAGCATCACAGCTGCGCCATCATGTTTGCGGGGAGTGGTGCCCACTCTGTGAGAAATAACTTTAAGCAGCTACTGAGCCTCTGTAAGGACCCTCTTATGTACACTTCTGACCTTTTGGGGTACAAGGAGGAATGGAGTTAGCAATTTAACAGGAACATTCACCACAATCTCCATGTAATAAATAAAGGCCTGTGAAGAGATTAAATAAATCTTTCCTAATGCTTTCTGATTGGCTTAATCAATAATTAATCATCTTTAGATGAGGCTGTAACTTGTGGAGTAGATATAATTGGATTAACTGAAAAGAGGCAGTTGGGGAGCTTTGAAGAGATTAAAATGGCTGTCAATCCCATAATTAAACTGCTACAAACAAAAGCAATGGTGTTTTAAACAAAAAGGAGAAGGAAAGAGAAAAGGAAAGAAAAGTTGGGGAAGGCCAACTGATTTGAAATGAATCAACAAGCCTTATGTATCACTAGAGATTGTAGAAGCAAAATCAAATCTGATAGACTTAACCATTGGATGAAATAGATAGTTGCCAAATCAGCCATCGATGTCCAGGGCAGGTGAAATTTTGGCAGTTTGGACTTAACAGAAACAAAACGAATCCACAAAAGGAAAAAATATATATATTATGCAAAACAGAAGAGACCTGCTCCTTGTCCTGAGCCCATTTAGACCTTGACTTTTCATACTTTTTAATTGGCTTAGTAGGTTTGGCCTGTGTGAATGAAGTCTTTTATCTTCCTCTTTTTCTTTCTATGCCCCTTTCATCTTTCCTATTACACAGGAGAGAGCTTTAGAGAAAATACTTTGGTTTTAAAAGACTTTTCCTTTTAAAAGGATGTGGATTTGGGTGGGGGAGGGGTGTGTGTGTGATGCTGGTGAATACTTTTTTTCTCTCTCTTTTATCTCTTTTTCCAGAGAGGAGTTGCTTAAACCAATGGGACTGAAACCTGACGGGACAATAACGCCCTTGGAGGAAGCACTCAGCCAGTACTCTGTCATCGAAGAAACCAGCTCTGACACAGACTAAAAGCGCCACCTGCTCAACTTTCAATATTGCTTTTATTGGCATCCTTTCTCTGTAGCTCCAGGAGAATCTTTTCTCTAAAACATTTATGCCCTTGCTTTGGCTAGAAACACGTTAACTGGTTTACTCCTTGAGAATCCAGCATATTTAAGAGGTGATCTTGTGTTTTCTGCGATATTGAGGCATTCATACAGAGCTGCAGTTAGGCAGAGTTATAGGGGCTAGACGCAGAAACAGTAATTCCATTTCATTAGGATGGAACGAAGGACTTCTTCTGTAAAGCAGCCCTGGGCATGTCTGGCAGTCCTGGTTGCCAAGATTCCTAGCCGAAGATACAGCCATGTCCTTCCTCACTTGTGTGAGCAACCCCTCCTGAGTCTCTCCAGCAGCCAGAGGCATGTGAGAGCAGAAAGAGCTGGCAAATAAGGGCTGAGGCAAGTGATTCCTTAGGTCCAGACTGACTGAACGGAAGCCAAGCGGCTGCTCTGTGAACCTGGTCCCACTCTTCATTTCAGTTTTATAGAAGTATGGAAACACACACACAAGCACACACAGAGCCCCAGACTTACAAATTTAATTACACTCTAAAAGTTTGTATGTTGTGTAGCTACAACTTCAGAATATATTACTCCCTAGAAGGAGTTCTAAATGATGGTTTAGCTCCAGGCAGCTACATATGCCTATTTATTATTCCCGTACGTTCCTGAACACTAGTACCGTAGAACTGGACCGCCATCTGCATCATTGCACCGCGAGTGTGCATTCTGAGGTCAGCTTGGGGTGCCAAGAACAGACACATCCACTAGCCCAGCAGAGATGATGGGGCGCCCTAAGTAATGGGCGTGCTTTGGTGGCCTCTGCTGGGCGTGGGGTCAGCATGTCACGTTTTAAACGGGGATCAGTGTGTGTGCTTGTGTGTGTGCGCTCCCTTTCTACATATGTGATCAGTTTAATGGTAACTTTATTTATTTAAAAAGAAAGAAACACGGATAGTTACTATTAAACTGATTGATGCTGTTTATTTTTACTGTTAGAATTGGTCAGATGAAGAAGTAGAAATGCAGTCATGCAATAGACAGTGGGCCTAGCTTGATCAGGGGCTAAAGCTGAAAGGGTTTGGTTTCCTTTTATGTATATGTGTGAGTGTGACACACTCTCACACTCACACATATACACACACACATAGATAATGTGCTTAACCACTGCCTTTTAAAAACTAAATTAAATAAAACATTGGGGTTGATTCAATTTAGCCATCTGTGTGTGTTTCTTTATACATACCTGGGCTAAAAAATACTATTTCACAGCTCATGCTTGTTGAAAGTGCTTTTCCATCCATTTTCTCACTTGTCATCCTAGCCCTTTCTAAGGAGAGGCAAAGTATTTGGAAAATTGGTGAAAATAACATGTATCCAGAAGTCACTTTTCTGACAAAGCAACATATCAAAAATTGAGTCTTACAAGGCCTTTTTTGAGCGCACAGGGAGCTGTCCCAAATTTCCTGCAGTTTACCAACAGGAGAGAGCTTCAGGGTTTCACTCTTAGCCTCTTAAGCGTGCATGCGTTTCTGACCTGTTTAGTTACTTGGCTTTCCAAAAACAATGGCAAAGGAGGCAGCTGCTAGATTAAAGATAAGCATACTGAAGGCAGAAAAAAAAAAGGCCAAGTTAAAACTAGGTACCAAGATGGGAAAATGAAGACATTTTTCAAGGCATAGTCAATCTGGGACTCTTACCAAAGGATACTCTTTGACCCAGAAAATACATGCTTAATCATATAGCCATAGACCAAATCTTTCCATAATGGTGACTGAGCTTCTTTTAAAGAATAAATTAAATCCAGAATGCTTTATAAAAGACTAGGAAAGATAAACACATTTTAGGGTTTTCATCCCAATTTGTTGAAGAGCTTGTGATGATCTATATAGCCAACAGCAAATAAAGTGAAACTTGGCAATTCATTGTTTTAGATTAAGTAGGAAAAAAAGTTTAGGAAAAAAGAAGTAATATTTTTGTTATTTCATTCTACAGATGCATTTTTAACGTATTTTTATAATTTCTACCGTCCGCTAGCTTGGGCATGAGTTTTCAGCCTGTGTAAATGAAGATGTGTCTAATGAAATAACCATCTCGCCAGCTTTCTGCAGAGTTAAGTGTTTGCACAGTCTTGTTTAAAGTAGCCATGCTCTCTGCTTTCAGTGTGTTCTGTTTCATTTTGCATTTCTCTGTGCTGGGCACTAAGTCTTGTTTTTAAAGAGGAAGAATCTGCGAAAGGAGAAGATGGGAGTGACCTCATCCTACACCAGAGGGGAAGCTGACACCTGCTGGAAGCTCACTGCGTGCCTGCCTGCCGGGCTTTGCTGTACGTCCACTCCTGCAGCCTCTCCATGTCTCCTGGCAGAGAGCCTCTGGAGAGAGCTCCCCCTAAGTTCCCCAGCACTGCTCCGCTCCTCCTCCTCCCCTTGCCCTTTCTCCCTGCACATCTGGGTTGTACAGGCTACGTACCCACACCGGACCTTCAAGCCATAGGCTTTGAAACGTGAGGAATTGCCTGCTGTGGGGAGCATGGTCATTCTCAGGCCATTTTAAAGCAATAATTATTTTAGCAAAACCAGTCTAAAGAATTGTTCCAGCAGGGAGGTGACCTGGAGAGGAAGGGGAGTAGGACACTAGAATCCTTCAGGGGAGGTCAGAGGCCCTGGGTGTGCCCCTTTGGGGGATAGGAGGAGAATCAGAAGATCAGAGTTCCCTGGCCATAGTTTACGGCCCTCTTCCCCTTCCCTCATTCCTTCTCACGCTGGAAGTGGGAGATGAAGGAATGGATCCTCAGAGCATTTGAGCTGCTGGATTAGAGGAGCTGCCACCAGGCATCTGTGACCCCTTCACAGGCCCAGTGGTCTTGGGTGGCAGGCAGCCCTTCCTTGTCCTTAATCAATCACCCAGGCTAAAGCTGTACAAGTGATGATAAGTATCAGTACCGCATCAGTCCTGCTCTCTCCCAGAACTGTGTCACTTGCAATGACTTTCTTCTTCCCTTCCGTGCATTCATTGTGGAAAGTTTGGAAAATGCAAAAAACGGCAAAATCAGTAATCTACCCCAAATCCCACCACCCTGAGATCACTGTTAATATTTTAGTGTATTTCCTTCCTGTATTTTTTCTATGCATATATAATTTATTTTACTACAAGATTGGGATCATGCTGTATTTACAGATTTGTATCCTGCTTTCTTCTTTAACATATTGTGAGCATTTTCCCATGTCAATAAATATTCTTCAAAAGTTAATGGCTATATGATAATTCCATTACATGATTTGTGGCAGACACTGGCAATTGCCTGCTCAGTATTCTTGCTAACAGGAACATTTTGACCTGTGGCCTCTGTTCCCACCCACTAAAAAGACATTGCTTCCTGTTTTTCTGGAACACAGCAGTCCTGTGGACACAACAGAACCAACCAGGAATGGCAGACAGGAGAGACAGAAGCCCGGATTGCACAGCGGGGCTGTGTGCCCACATGACTTGAAGGTGAGTGGTGGCTAGCGGGTTGTTGAGATTCATTTTCCAGAAGTGGAGGGAAAAGATGAGGAGTGACCTGTTCTTACAGGAAACCAAAGTGACACCTGTCAGCTACTGGGTCTATGATGGGCCCAATATGGAGAAGAAACATGAATCATGTTCTTGGAACAAATCATGAAGGAGGGAGAAAAAGGTTTCGAGAGGGCTTAGCAGGTGCAGCAGATGTGCTGAGCCCTACATCAGATGTTGAGAAGTAGCAGAGTTGTCCCCACAAGAAGTGGCCCTCACACCCTGGTCACGACCGGGTAGTGGACACATGCCTCTTCCTTTCCAGCTGGACAGCATTGGGTGTTAGGTAATGTCCTCAGGAGAGTGGCTGACCACTCAGGCCATCCGTGATCCAGATGAACCCCGATGGAGAAAAATCTGCCCCTGAGAAAAGATGAAATGATTCTTAAGGCTTCTGGAGAATTACTGTGCTAAGCACTAGTGCTAATTTTTCTGACAGTCTTACAGAGTGAGCACTTTGACAAAATACTCACTCTTCAGGGGAGGAAACTAGAACACAATCAATTTGCTTTGAGTTTGTTATGCAGAGCAAAACACAAACTCAAGTCTGCTGTCAAAGGCTATGTAAATACCAGGCTACTTGAGTATTGCTTTTGCAATCAGGAAAATGCAATAGTATTTATTTAGAAGAAAAAAATGTCAAACCACAGTGAGAAAAAGAATTAAGAGAATAACGTGGTCTGATTTTTTGCACTTCCCTATCTTTGCCCTGTAGAATTCCATTCCAGAGCTCATCTCAGAGAAAAGCCACATTCACAAGCACACCAGTCCACATTGGTTTGAGCCGTAGTATTGAGCACCAGTTGTGGGACCAGGTGCTATTTAAGGTGCCTGGGGCTACCAATGATTGTCCCTATCCCCAGGGTAAAAAGTCCCTGACCAAAACCTACTATTAAGGGTTAAGGGTGTTACAGAATGCCGAGAGTATAGTAGTAAAGACTGGGCAGTTTCACAAGTGACCTGCCATGTAGAGGAGAAAGGATGCTGCTTGAAGAACTTGCTCAAGCAAAAGCTCCTGGTACACTTTCAGACACGAAGAGTTTGATAGGATGGAAACTGGTGTCCCCCATCTCATGACTGGGCACATGAGCAGCAGCATTTCAAGAGGGAGGGATTTGCTCTGGCTGCAGGACTGACTGGAGAAAGGGCAGAGGTTCTGCTCCCCGTTCTCACCATGATCCTGACAACTGTGTGATCCACATCCTACCTTCACCATGTCTGAGGGGGCCGGGTGCTGGTAGCTAACACCTGTAATCCTAGCTGCTCAGAAGGCAGTTTGAAAGCCAACTTGGGCAGAGAAGTTCATGAGACTTATCTCCAATAAACTACTCAGAAAAAGCTGGAGTAGTTCTGTGGTTCAAGTGGTAGAGCACTAGCCTTGAGCGCAGAGGCCCAGGGACAGTGCCCAGGCCCTTCAGTTCAAGCCCCAGAATTGGGGGGGGGGGATGAAGGAGTGCAAATTGCCTCCCTGGTCTCTCCATGCCCACTCTGCCTTGTGCACCTGTTCAGAACTACACACACACACACACACACACACCATGAAACCTTCAGCAGCAGCAACACCTTTGCATTCTTCAGTGACTGGGAAGAGTTTCTGTTCTACTGGTGTTGGGAAAGTCACCTCATCCTGAAAGTCCTGCACAAGCAGTTGCCTAGTTGTTGTTTTGTACCAGTCCTTGTACTTGAACTCAGGGCACTGTCCCTGAGCTTTTTCACTCAAGGTTAGTTTTCTACCATTTGAGCCACAGCTCTACTTCTACTGAAAAGTCTCAAACTTTCTTGACCAGGCTGGCTTCGAACTGCGATCCTCAGATCTCAGCTTCTTGAGTAGCTAGGATTACAGGCGTGAGCCATCAGTAGCTGGCCAAGTTGCCTAGTTTTAGGACTATTGGTAATAGAAGTAAACACATTTCACAATTTAAGTGCGCTCCACTTACCACCCCCAGCCTTGTTTTACTTGGGGTCAATTAGCATAATTTTTAAGTAAGGAGAGAGAGAAAAAAAATGGTATCTTACAAACTGCTTTCAGGCTTTGAACTTTCCATCCTTCAGAGCTGATTATGGCCAAGTGACCCATATTCAAAAAGCATTTAGAATAAGAATGATGCACTTGCTTTTGTACCATGGCTTCCCTGATGAAAAGCAAAAATGTTTGAAAATTGTCCCTTTTTGTCAGCAGTAATGGCTGTGCTATATTTCAGCTCATCCCCCTTGTGGGCAGAGAAAAGGAGGAGTAATAAAGGGCACAGCTGTAGACACTTTACGGCCTGCTTGGGAGGTGGCGTGGGGGA